TTCACTCCCTCTCTCTCAAATCAACAACAACAAAACATAAAAAAAGAAAAAGTAATGATTACTTCCTTTAAAAAAATTTTATGATTGACCGAGTGAGTTTAGAGAGAAAGAAGAAAGGGGTAGGAGAGAAACATCGATTTGATGTCCACCTATTTATGCATTCATTGGTTGATTTTATTTTTTAGAATGTTTTTATTGATTGCAGAGAGGAAGGTAGAAGGAGAGAGAGATAGAAACATCAATGATGAGAGAGAATTCTTGATTGGCTGCCTCCTGCATGCCACACATTGGGGAGGGAGCCTGCAGCCTGGGTATGTGCCCTGACTGGAACTGAAGCCAGGACTCTTCAGTCTGCAGGCTGATTCTTTATCCACTGAGCCAAACCAGCTAGGGTAAGGCAACTTTTTTTTTAAATTTCTTTATTGATTAAGGTATCACATATTTGTCCTCATCCCCCCATTCCCATTCCAAACCCCTCCCCATGTATGCCCCACCCTCCTGTTGTCCGGACCACTGGTTAGGCTTATTTGCATGCATGTAAGTTCTTTGGTTGATCTCTCCCCCTTTTCCCCAAGGGCAACTCTTATGGAGGGCAATTTTGGTACTGTGTTTTAAAATTACAAATGCATTTAACTGCTTTTATAGAAATTCCTTCTATACACTTGGACAGATGCAATCTGAGTTATATAAGGTTATTACAGAATAGCTTGTGCTAGCTAAAGGTTGGTAACAAGCACTCTAGAGTTCACCAGCACCCTAAAGTTCAGTAAATCGATGCATACACTCATACACTGGTATGGTAGGCAGCTATAAACAACTATATATATATATATATATATATATATATATATATATATACACACATTTTTTTTGAACTGTGTGTCAGGGACATTGGTGCTGTAGATATTCTGTGCCTGCTTCAAATAAAAATTTACAAAAGACCAAAATAAAGCAAACTATGACATTCAAAGAAATAATTAGGAAGGATAGCATAGAATGCAAGGATCTGGGCAGTCTATCAGAAAGCTCCCTTAGCCAAACACTGCCAAGACTAAAGCCCTGAAAAACCGGAATTGAAATGAAGGCAAGACCAAATTTGCAAGCTGACTTCCTTTGCCAAGAATGATCCCGCAGAGCATGCCTGTTTTTAGGGTGTGGCCATCTGGATCCGGGACTGGCTCTGTAGAGTGTAATAGGAAAAAGTTGAGGGTAGCAACAGTTTGACTTTATGACCTTACTTTGAGCTCATCATCAGGATTACTTAGGTCCCCTAGCAGCTGGCAGGGTAGGCCCAGGTGTCCCAATCTGATAGTAAAGGAGATACCAGAGGAAGAGAGTGTGAACCAATCCTAAGCTAAATCCACCGGCCCTGCGTCCCCCACCCCAGCCCATTACCCCCAAAATCAGTAAGAAGCTGTGTGACAAGTGGATCATTAAAGAAATAGGAGTCTGTACTAGGGAGATGACAGTGGCAATGTAAAGGAAGAAATGAATCTCTAAGACTTTAAACTTTTGAAAGAGGCCTAATTTTTTAAAGATGCCATTGTGTGTGTGTGAAAAATAACTATCAAAAATATTGGCAAGGATGACACTGCTTTATAGATACATATTTATATATACATGACATTTTAAAATATACTTTTATTGATTTCAGAGAGAAGGGGAGAGAGAGAAATATCAATGACGATAATCATTGATTGGAATCAAACTGTGACCTCCTAGTTTATAGGTCAATGTCCACCAATCAGGTACACTGCCTGGACTGTTTTATATATTTTTAAATACACTTAATGCCTAATTAATACAGGACAGCTGAATTTCCCTATCTACTTTTGCATTAAATATTTTATGACATCACATATCATGCACTCTGAAAAACTCCACTGAACACTTACGAGAAAATCAGAGTGCAAAAGGTATTGTCTTACTATTGTTAAGAGTTATTTTTGCCTTGTGCAGTTTCTGGACCACACTTTGAGAATCACGACTCTATTCTTAGGAATATATAGGGAGTTTTCAAAAACCCTCTATGGGAATCTCATTTCCCAAGTTTTCTTTTTAACTTTTTTGTTCCACTTTGTTTGCTTCAACTGGTATTGTTCTCAGGCAGCTATGGTGTTATGTTAGACAATAGCCAAGAATTTTTATTTATTTACTAGAGGCCCAGTGTATGAAATTCATGCACTGGGAGGGGGGGGGGGCCTCTAGCCCAGCCTGCACCCTCTCCAATCTGGGATTCCTCTCCAATCTGGGACTGCTGGCTCTCACCCGCTTACCTGCCTGCCTTCCCGATTGCCCCTAATTGCTTCTGCCTGCCAGCCTGATCACCCCCTAACCACTCCCCTGCCAGCCTGATTGATGCCTAACTGCTCCCTTGCCAGCCCAATTTCCCCTATAGAATGTGTCCTCCTCTGCAGGCCCTGTCACCCTAACTATCCTCCCTTGCAGACCTGATCACCCACAACTGCTCTTCTCTGCAGGCCATCTCATGCAAGGCCGTGATGGTCAATTTGCATATTACCTATTTATTATATGGATTTTAATAGAAGCACTAGAGGTAGGGCTTATATCACTGAATGAGCTCTCAGATCTAAGAAAGACTAGTGCTGTGAATGGGGCTTTTCTAGGGAGCTGCAAGACAAATCAAATAATGACAATTCTATGAAGATGAGTCTGTTTGAGAGCTTCAAATCCATTTCCATCCCTCCAGTGGCTACTATACTCCAGGTTTTCACAGCCACCACAGTCGCAAGGTAAGATGTCATTTTTTCAATTGAAGAATTAGCTGTAAGAAAGAGGCTTTTTATTTATTTATTTTTGTTTGCTTCAGAATTGGGAGCTGTCATTTTGGACAAGATATTTAAAACCCTACTGTCAATCTTCCATCCTAAGAGCTCCCATCCCTCTGAAAGGAAATGCCTTCCAATTCCTCCTAAAAAAAAAAAAAAAAAAAAAAAAAAAAAAAAAAAAAAAAGCCAAGCAAAACAAAACAAAACTTGAAAATTGTTTCTTCTGCTCCCTGAGACAGAAAGACTATTGTCTTCCTACATTTGGCCCCACTGACCTCGACAGGACGTCCTGGACCTGGATCCCAGATGGGGAAAGTGGGTGGGTTGACTGACATACTGGCAAGCAGTGTGAATTAGGAATCTGGGGGTGGGGCAGGGCTGTACCTCAAGACGCTTGAGTTTATACTTCTCAACACCTCATCTCCATTCCAAATAGCAAAGACATCACAGTTAAACTTAATTAGGGGTACGTGATAAAGTGACAAGTTTCTCACTAAATGTTCTCCTTTTCCTTGCCCGCCCTGGACGGACTCGGAAGACCACCTGAAGTCCTTCCCCAGAAGAGGTGTCTGCACAGGGAATGAAGTCTAGGATTTGCGTGTGAAGTAGGGCTGTCCTTGCCAGGGCGAGGCCCTTCCCCGGATTTCTGGCCCTTTAGCTCAAGGATGGAGTGAGTGAACATGGCTGGTGGCTGCAGGGCTGGACCTCGGCCCCGGCCCGGACGGAGCCGCAGAGGCTCAGCGAGCGGAGCGGACAGGTGTGCGGGGCGGCGGCGGCGGCGGCGGCGGCGGGCGCTGCTGGACGCGCGGGCTCAGCCGTCAGAACCGGCGCCGGGGGGCGTGCGCGGCCCACCCGCCAGAGGACTTGACAGATCGCAGAGAAAGAAAACAAAAAACAAACCGAAGCCCACCAGCTGCCTCACGTTTCTTTGCAAACAAATCGTGGGTGGAACACCGAGCTGGACGGTGGAGTAGAATTCCGCTTCCCCGCTCTGGGCCGGAGAGGAGGTCCGGGCAAAGCTCCGCGCCTCCGGAGTAAACAAAGTACCGCCGCCGCCCCGCGCGGGGAGCCTCCCGCAGCCAGACTCCCCGAGGGCAGGGGCGCCAGAACACTCCAGAGTTACAGAAAATCACATTCAGAGAGAGAAAAGGAGAGAGGAGAGGAGAGGAGAGAAGGGGAGAAAGGCGAAGAGAGAGGGAGGAAAGGGGGAGAGAGTGAGAAGAGAGAGGAAAGGGAGGAGAAAAAAAAGGGGGGTGAGAGCGAGGGGAGGAGAGGGAGAGAGAGAGAGATCTCACTACCTCCTACCAACCCACTGCCGCCTCTCGGAGGAAAAGCGGCCCCTCCCAGGAGCGAGAGAGAGCGAGAGAGAGCGAGAGAGAGCGAGAGAGAGCGAGAGAGAGCGAGAGAGCGAGAGAGCGAGAGAGCGAGAGAGCGCGAGAGAGCGAGAGAGAGCGAGAGAGAGCGAGAGAGAGCGAGAGAGAGCGAGAGAGAGAGAGAGAGAGAGAGAGAGAGAGAGAGAGAGAGAGAGAGAGAGAGAGAGAGAGAGAGAGAGAGAGAGAGAGAGAGAGAGAGAGAGAGAGAGAGAGAGAGAGAGAGAGAGAGAGAGAGAGAGAGAGAAAGAGAGAGAGAAACACCCCATTACCCCCTACCAACCCACTGCCGGCTCCCGGAGGAAAGCCGGCCCCGCCCAGGCCGGCGCCCACTGGCTGCCCCGGTGGCGGTGCCGCGCGCTCATTGGCCGCCCTGGCTGTCAGTCATGGGCGGGCCGGCGCGCGCGCCGCCGCGGGAGGGGGAGGCGGCAGATCCCGTAAGTCGGGCGGCCGCGTAGTAGCTGCAGCCTCCGCCGCCGCCGCCGCATTCAACAGGCAGCAGCGCCGCGGCCGCGCCGCCGAGGGGAGCGAGCCGCCCGCGGCGCCCGTCAGCTGTCCGGACCGCGCTTTGTCAGCAGGAGCCCCGCGCCGGCGCTGCCCGAGCCCGGCGACCCTGGCCTGCCGTCCCGTCGGCGCAGCGGACCCGGAGGAGTGTGGTTGTTGATGGACTCGCCAAGTTAAGTTCTGGGCTCGCGCTGCCACTTCGCCGCGGTTTCCGTCCGCCCGCGGCAGCGCTCTCGCCCCTAACCTCGGACCAGCGCCTCGCGCCCCTCCCCCGGGCCCCCGGTCCTGCGCTCTGCCCCTCTCGGCTCTCCCGGCTGGGGGAGGGGCGGGGGTCACCATGGCCGAAGCGCCCCAGGTGGTGGAGATTGACCCGGACTTCGAGCCGCTGCCGCGGCCGCGCTCGTGCACCTGGCCGCTGCCCAGGCCGGAGTTCAGCCAGCCCAGCTCGGCCACCTCCAGCCCGGCGCCGTCGGGCGGCGCGGCCGCCAACTCCGACGCCGCCGCCGGCCTGCCCTCGGCGGCCGCTGTCAGCGCCGACTTCATGGGCAGCCTGAGCCTGCTGGAGGAGCGCGGGGACTTCCCGCCCGCGCCCGGCTCCGTGGCGGCGGCCGCGGCGGCGGCGGCGGCGGTGGCGGCGGCGGCCGCGGCTGCCGCCACCGGGGGGCTGTGCGGGGACTTCCAGGGCCCCGAGGCGGGCTGCCTGCACCCGGCGCCGCCGCAGCCCCCGCCCGCCGGGCCGCTGGCGCAGCACCCGCCCGTGCCCCCCGCCGCGGCCGGGCCGCTGGCCGGGCAGCCGCGCAAGAGCAGCTCGTCCCGGCGCAACGCGTGGGGCAACTTGTCCTACGCCGACCTCATCACCAAGGCCATCGAGAGCTCGGCCGAGAAGCGGCTCACGCTGTCGCAGATCTACGAGTGGATGGTCAAGAGCGTGCCCTACTTCAAGGATAAGGGCGACAGCAACAGTTCGGCGGGCTGGAAGGTGAGCGGCCGCGGGGCGCACGGCGGGACCCGGGGACGGGGTGGGAAGCCCTCCACTTGCGCCTGAGGTCGCGGGGGGCAGACGAGGCAGTTGTGCGAGTTTGCTGGACCTGGGAGAGCAGGGCGCGCGTGCCGGGAGCGGACGGAGATGGGCGGATGTGGGGGGCGGACTTGCCCGGGACGGGTGCGGGGACAGGGAGCAGAGTGCGCGCTCCAGGGAGGGCAGGATGGAATGGGGAGCGGGCTGGTTTAAGGGAGTGAGAAAAGTGTCCAAGCAGGGATAAAAGTTTGCCAGTGGAAGGAGAACGGGGTTCCCTGGGAGCTACTCCCTTGCGCACAGCCCGCGCGGACTTTGGGGGCTGCTCTTTCACCCCCAGAATCTCGGGGGCGAGGAAGGCTCCTCACGGGCCTGTGGCGCGCGACCTCCCCGCCCTGCGCCGTGCGGGAGCCGTTTCCGCCGCGCTGGGCGGGCGTGGGCCGGCGAGGGGCTGCGCAGGTGGACGGGGGACAGGCGGCAGGGCGCGAGCCTGTTTCTGAGGATTGGCCCCACACGTTTTTGGAGGATGGTGTGCATGTTGCTTTGTTTTGATTTTATCCGAAATGGCCATGAGTACAGGGAACCGGGCGTGCCGAGCTCGAGGTAGCGCAGCCGACGTGTGCAGTGTGTGGGCCGCCGCCTGCGGAGCCGCGGAGCCGGGCCGCACGAGGCGAGTTAAAGTTCAAGTGTGACCCTCGGCGGGGGCGGAGGCGGGAGCCGGCGACAGCCAGGGCGGGGCCGAGAGAGCAGGAAGCGAGAGCCTTTAAAGGGCCAGCGCGGCTTTTGGCCCGACTGCGGCCGCGGAATAGCGGGGCCAGCACTTCTCTGGGCGAGGAAGTGCCCGAGGGTCCCGGGCCTTTAAATCGGCAGACGAGGCTCCCCTGGGTAACCTGCTTTGGGGACTGGGGACGAGTAGACCTTTTCTCTCTTTGCCACCTCAGTGTTACCACCAAGCACGGAGGTACAGTTCCGAGGGCCTCATCCCGACTGTGCAGGCACCATAATAAAGAAAAAAATATTTTTTATTTACGGCGTAATCCTTGCTGCGTACTTGTTACACCAAGGTGGTTTTATATGCACTGTCACCCCCCGTCGTTATTGTGTGTGGTGTTGAAGTTCCTGGAGAAGGAAACAGGATTTTATTTTTTCCAGTGTTTTTTAGAGTAAAACGATCACTTACAACTTTATTATTAGGCACCCATGCAACTTACCAAGTGTTTCAAAAGGTAAAGTGCCTCCCTAAGAGGTTTACATTGTGAGTACGTGAAACACAGTTTGTATAATTACTTAATATTTATTGTATTACTTTCTATATGAACAACTGTAAGCCTACTTTTAAACCCCCCCATTCTTTGAAGTCAGGATTGTCTGCCAAGTCCAATTTTACTTAACATTTGAATCTAACTACTTATCTTGCTCATCTATCTATTCTACTTGAGCCATGATAAAGCATTTGTCGTTTTTTATTTTATTTTTTGCCATTTGAAGTACAGAATATACTTACACAATTCTTTAACTGGTATGCCCTTGGAAATGGGTACAACCTACTTAAACTTGCTGGAATGCCTTTCTTTAAAGGTAGAGAAAGCCAAAGTTTTAGGATTATTTTTAGTTTCATTTCTCAAATGGCCTTAAGTCAGGGTGTTATTCTTAAACTAGGAATATAACTTAAAGTTTTAAGATTTAGTGCTTTGTAAAAAAATATAAATAATAAAGCCAAATCATCTCTCAACCATTTTTATTAGATTCTTACTTGTTCTATTTTTTTTTCTCAAATGCAATTATAATTTTATTATTTTTAAGAATTTACTTACCCGAGGTAGCGCATCTATGAATATTAACTATTAGTTAGGATTATCTGTCTAGACTTGGAGGCCTACTGGTGGGACTTGGAGGCCTACTAGTGGGGCTTTGGAATGAAGCAGGCTGCCATTCTCCAGTAAATGCTTCAGGTGTAATCAAGAGTCAGTTGGTGCAAGTCAGATTACAGCAAGTGCATTTTCACTTTGAGTAAATGGGTATTTTAAGAAGGAAAAAAACCAACATAGGGTGTTCTAACTCATAAGTAAGTCTTCTGGTTAGTTTTCATAAAAATGAGTTACTTGTTAAAGCTAAGTTTCACTCAGATCTGAAAGATTTTCCTGTTTTAAAGAATCATGAAAGGAAAAAATTCAGTTGTAAAATGCAAATCAACCCAAACTTAACTGCTTTAGAACTAAAGAGAGGTTGCTTAGGAACACTTAAGTATTTACTGTGATGAATTATTATAAATTAGGCTGGTTGTTTAGTTAAATATAGTTTCTTGTGTTTTTTCTTCTACGGCCTGCCTGAGAATTTGAAAGTCATTTGCATTGACAAAGTACTTGGGAAGCTGTTAAAGGGCTCAAAAACTTCTAGTTCCTTACATACTGGTTATGTGTTTGGATCATGCATTTTGTATTTGTAGGGATGGCACCTTAAATCTACTTTACACTAGTTTAACATTTACTAGAACTGTCATAAGTTTACAAAGTAGAAGCTAAAATTTTTGGAAAACTCAAGATTTTTTAAACCATGTACAGTATTTATAAGTAGTAAAACTTCATGACCTGTTTATTTTATTTATTTATTTTTTTTCCCCAAATAGAAAGCTTTCAGTTCTGATTCTTTGTAATGGTAATTTTGAGTTGGCTCTTGTTTTTTTGTTTTGGTATTATTTGCAACACTTAATTTAGGTGAAAAGAATGCGGCAACAAGACTCAACACATACAAAAAATTTAAATTGTTTTATTACTAAGTGGCTCAGATATTCTTTATTTTGGAATGAAGTTTCTTTAATTTGGTTAGTGAACGGAGAGTACATTTTCTTGCATATTAAAATTATATCTACCGGTATTCTGTAATTTAGGTTTTTAAGCTGTAGGTGAGTGATTTATTTAGCTACAGAGATCCCTTGGCAGAAGATGGCAGCTTTTTTGCTGCACAGTTACATTTGACGTAAGTAATCCTGGTGAAGCCAACTTCTAGTTGGTTTGCTGCTGAAATTCCCATAAGGAAAATCCTTTTTTACAGTTGGGTGAAAATTGCAATATATGTATTTGAAGAGAGCTTGAGGAAAGAGAATTAAAAGTGGATAATTATGCAGTCAAGTATATCTTATTTGCTAAAGATTGAAAATCGTGTGAGACTGATGTAAACATGAACATGTCTTATAACTATTTTGTTCAGAAATTCTAAAATAGATGCCAAGTATACTAGTAAGTATCTTGATTGAGACTCATAAGGATTTTATTTTTATTTTACCTATGTTTTTGTGGCAAAAAGGTGATTGTGGCAGGAGGGGCTTCTATTTTTGAATGATACTGAGCTTTTAAAAATCTTCCTTTTTAAGTGGCAAACATTTAAATATTGGAAAGGTTAAAAGTTCTCATGTAAATTTTAAAAAAGGTTAAAGTTTGTGGAGACCTTTTTATAATTACTGAAAGTCTATCACATTGGCGGTGAACACAAATATTTCTAGATAACATGCACTGTACAGGGAATCTGAGAGTACAATTGAAGTGAAGATAAGGGGAATAATACTCAATGGTTAGTTAGAATCCCTAAGAGGCTGGAAAAGTTTTGTCTGTTCTTGAGCTCTTCATCTAGACTCCTAAACTGCAATTCTGCATGACTTACATTCTATTTGTCTGTCTGTCTGTCTGTCTGTCTATCTATCTATCTCACGTTGAGAGAGAGAAACATTGATTTATCATTCCACTTATTTTATGCATTCATTAATTGCTTCTTATGTGTATCCTGACCTAGGATACGCCACAACCATGGTGTATTGGGACTGTGCTTTAACCTGGTCAAGGCCTGCATGACTTTCTGAGAGAGCAGCTGTCTGTATTTGTCTGGAATTTCTTTGGGAAGTCTGAACTATTTGTATGTTTCTGGAACACTCTGCCCTTGGAAACTACTCAGTACCCTGGCATCATGGGAATTTACTCAGCTATTTTTTTTGTGTGTGGTTTTATTTTTATTTTTTTTTAATTAATTAATTTTTTTTTAGCATGTGTGTGCTGTAACTTTGGTGCTTCCTGGAATCCTCTTGGAAAGGCAGTATAAACCCATGGTGACTGGAGAGAGCAAAAGAGTTTGCAAATATAGGGAGCATCAACGAACACTGGTTTTAGTCCTGCTTCTCTGCAGTTTAAAATTTGCCTTGGCCCTCATAGGAACAACTTGCAGAGACTTGCCCAAACCCCCTGGAGCCTTTCTTGGGTCAGATAACTATTTTTTTTTTTTCTGTGCATACAAAATTTTGAAGTTGATGTGGTTCTCATTTGTGAAACAGAGGACCAGATGAACTTAAAAAATGTTTATTTTGGTGTTGAAGGGATGCAGGCTTATAATTCAGCGGTTATACTGTATACAAATGTATTAAAAGGTTGGAAGAAGTCTCCCTATTTGCTAATTTCTGATAAAAGTTTGTTAAAAACTTGTCAATGGCACAGAAATTTTTTTGCAGAGTTACTTCTTGTTATTTGTGGTCTTCTAAGGAACATATGAAACAAGATAATACATTTTTGTATATTGGTGATTTCATATGATTCAATCTTTTAGGAAAACCCTTTTTCCACTGGCACTTCACTTTACTCCATGCAATCTACTTTTGGTTTATCAATCTACCTATGGGTTAATGCACTCTAAATACTGAGTCTTGGTTTGAGTTATCTTTGCCACCTGGAAGATACTGGCTGCCTTCCTTTTTAAAATTTCTTTTTCATCTGTTATATAGCTTTAGTATAGGCTAAAAAAAATTTAAAAAAGTAGTTTTGATGTTAAGCTAAATAAAATTAGGATGCCATATCTGCAACAACTTTTCACGTTATTATTTAGTGAGTTTTCACCATAATGCATTACTGAAGGACATATATTCAACATGTGTCCTTTACTAGGTGTACCTGTTGATACGGATTTTTTTTTCAATAGATGGAGTT